ATAACAAAAATAAACACCGGTATTCGGTATGAACCGGTATACCGCCCAGCACTACTATGCTGTACTATAATTATTGGCCTACTATGTTATTTTTGTTAACTTTCATAGGCTAGCAGCTAACAGTAAAGTTCTCAGAACTTTTGCAAACAAACGTTCTTTTTGTAACATTAACAGAACGTTTGTTCAGAGTTCTCTCTTTTGTATGCTCAAAACGTTAGCACAAAAATGTTATTTCATAACATGATGGAACATTAGGAAAAAGTTCTTAGAACATTTTTGTTAGCTACTTGAGAACGTTCAGAGAACATTCAAAAGTAATGTTCCCATAATGTTTGCAAAATTATAAAATGATTATAAAATTATAACCAAGAAGCAATGTTTTAAAAACGTTTTTACGCTGCATTTTCCAGCATCTGTTTTAGTGCACTCTGGGCCACAGAGATATGCAAATACAAAAAAATGCACCTGGCATGCTCAAACCTGCAGTTTTCAATGTCAATAATGGAACAGGACAGGAAACAGAACACAGCTAATGAACTAAATTACATTTTTAATCAAATTTACCTTGGCCAAGTTATTGGTAAGAATAACCAACTACACAGGGGGTGGGATGTCATTGTTTGTTGGCATGCATCTGGACTTGAAAGAACATTGATGCCAGCCTTTGCCTTTTTAATGAATGTAACATGACATGCCAAAAGTCTGAACAGCAGTACACAACCTCATCCTATTCGTTGGTGATCTGTAGTTGAAAGTGAATGTTTAACTGCATCCCAGAGATGCTTCAGTGAGTTATTATCTGGCAAGCCAGGAGGCCATTTCAAATAATTAAAATCACTTTATTGTAGAAACATCGTAGGGACAAGAGTAAAAGTGAGTTACTTTTTTGCAATATTGCAGTCATGTAGTGAAATTATAACACAATATACATGTATTGTCTTAAAATGTCACCACAATGTAAGATGTACAGAATAGAGAATATATTCACTGTAAACAGTATTTACATAATACACATTATAACATAATAAAAATACAGTATATACTGTGTACAAAATGTACAAGTACTTACCAGTGTAATAGTGAAATGGTTTAAGATTCCGGTTTTTGGCTCTAGGAGACATTTGTAGCTTGGTAAAAAGCCATGGCCTTGTTTCAACTCAACCTATTCAAATTCTAAACCACTATGAATGCTCTTCCTACAATATGATGTTCAGATCATTTTGAATTTCAGAAAATGGAATGAACATTTTTGGAATTTCATTTTTTTCATGGCAATTATTAAAGCCAACAATAACTTTAATATTTAGGTGAAAAGCCACCTCTCTACTGTATGAACTCTTACAGAGGAAAAAGATGCTTTAGTAAGAGGTTTTACTACAGATCGTTGAGTTTTTAGAGGGACTTTCCTTAAGTTCAAAGAGTTGACCAGGTCAGGAAGGTGTATGCTAATAGACAGAAAATAATTTAAAGGAACAGTTCACCTAAAAATTCAAATTCTGTCATCATTTACTCACCCTCATGTTAGTCCAAACCGGTATGATTTTCCTTCTTCTGTGGAAAACAAAAGGATTTAGCATTTAGCATTAATTTAGCATTACATTGAGTAACCAATGAGAAGATCCCAGTCAGTTTTACAACATCTAATTTACTGCCCTCGCATCCTGTTACTATGAAAATCTTTGTTTCTGCTCTCTCTTTCTTTCGCTCTTTCTCTCTCATACACTTTCTCTGTCTCTCTTTCCCTAACTCTTCCCGCCATGCTATAATCCCCTCTTAAACGTCATTTGCAGATGTCAGTGATCTAAAACGATCAAGGACTGGAGACCACCACAAAAAAAAAAAAAAGCCAAAGAAGAAAAAAAAGGAAGCTCTCAGACGTGGAAGATAATTCTGCATCAACTTAAAGCTTCTGGTAAGTTTAGAAGTTTCTATTTAATTTTTTTTGTTCATTTTCATTTTACAACCAAATCAGGAATGTATTTCATTAATAATAAAGTATGAATCCAAATTGGGAATCTGGGAAACTTAAAGGTTTTAGAATTCTGAGAAATTTAAAATGAAACATGATATATGGACATATTCTGCACTATTTCTTGGTCTTTAAACAAATACATTTTTCGAATAAACTTTTTACTTAAATTGTTATATTATATTATATTTATTATATTATAACATATTTTGTAATAAATTGTACAGAAATAAAATAAAATAATAATTCCAATAATTTTAAATTTTTAAAAATTGGAGAAATGCAAAATTACGGAAGAGGATTAGGGCCAAACAATAATAAAAAAAATAAGACCATCTCGAAAGTCATCGATTAAAGTCATTGTAATGCGAGATTAAACTCGTTAAATTTCGAGAAAAATGTCGAAATAAAATGTTGAGAATAAACTCATTAAATTTCGAGAATAAAGTCGTTGTGTTTCGAGATAAAACTCGTTAAATTTCTAGAAAAAAGTCGAAATAAAATGTTGAGAATAAACTCATTAAATTACGA